TTTACCTAAATCCATTGCCCAATAACTCAAAAGAAAAGTAGCCCAAAACCCGGCCCAAAAGGAGTTGCCAAGTGTGTTGCTCTGGACCGTAGATCTTGTGCCTAATCTATGGTGATTTGGTGGCCTATAAAAGAAGTTGGATGGTCATTCTTTACGTGTGAAAAATTCATTCTGTTTCCGCCTTTGTGAGAGAAATATTTTGGGTTCTTTGTTCATTCATGTGTTCTTCCTCCTTCTGCCTCCTTTACCCGATTCTTTGTGAAATAGATTAAAACTCTTGGTTTTAATCACAAACCTTGGTGGTTTGCTTCTGTTTGATTCTTCGATTGTATTTTGTGAGGGGTTTAGATAGGCAGTCGTGATTTAGTCCATTGAAGTAGCTGCTTTGTGCAATTCTTCTTAGGGTTTGGGTTTTGTTGGCTTGTTCTTTGTGAACAGACGGGTACAATGTATTCTTTGTGAATTCTGAGCCTCAAATAAACTCGATATTACTTTGAGTATATTAGTTTGTTCTTGGTGAATTTTCTACTGCTTCAGCGTGTTTCTTGAGGCTCATATCCTTACATAAACAATGGCTTTCAACAACAGAAGGGCCTTATTAATCTCCCTCTCCATCTTCCTCTTCGCGCTGTCTGGCATGGCCTACAAGTTCTAGAAAGCAACCCCACCACCCGAGGCTGCCTCTCAAGCCCGTCCCATTCCCCTTCTTCCTACACATTTACTGTACCTCGCAAACACCCGCACCGGCATATGCACCCGTTGACGCACCAGCTAATGCCCCTGCTGACGCACATGTTGATGTTGACACCGACCGAGGTGCCAGTGATACAAAGTCCTAAATTGCCCTTGTAGCTGCATTAGGAGGAGACGTGTACCAAAGGCCGATGAGGATGAAGAATCCAAGTCACTGGAATCAAATGTACCAAAGGATGTAGAGGCAAAGGAGTCAAAGTTCCTGGAATCCAACATGAAAGCCACTGTTAACAAGCTCGAGAAATTCATCTCAACCGTCGTGAAACTTGTCTGGAAGATCCTAAAACAGACCAATCCGACGAGCAATGCCTGGAACAACGCCAGGAGGTTTACGAGAACACAATAGAATTATAGAGGCAATGCAGAAGATCTTGGAAGATGTCTCCTCAGGTGACTTCTTCAAGCCCAATGTCGATGTCAGTGCATTCACCACAAACACGTGCGATGAATGCTTTGGCGAAGTGATCGAACCAGAATTTCAGAAGTTCAATGACTGGGCTAGGGGCATTGCCAGGGACTGCCTTGGCAAGAATGTAAAGTACTCAAACATGAAGTAGTTGTATAAACTATAAATTGCATATGGAGGGTGGAACTTGAAGGTTCTTGATGTATAATTGTAATCAGCTTCTACAGAGATTAAAAAATCAACACTGGTTATTGTTAGAACTCACGAATTTTTCTGAGAGATTGTATTTGAAACAGTAAATTGTGTTGGGATGAAAATATTTCAAATTCTACTCAGTTACATGCATCAAATCTTGTATCCAATTTGACTCGATTCAACAGGTAAAAAAATTGAAGCTCTTGAATAAGAAAGTGTTGAGCCACTTGAGCAGTTACACATGGTTGTTCTTGCAAAACCTAAGAAAGCAAACAGGGTTACCTTCATACTCAATACTTCACTTGGAGGTTGTTCTTGCACGAAGTTTTCGAGTTGTAATAAATTTTGCTCAAGTGTATACTAAGTTCTGGATTTGGACACTGAGTAAAGTATGTGGACTATTAATTAAACTCATCTGTCCATTGATATAGTAGTCACATAATAATCAAAACTCTGTTCATCATACCTTCACTAGTATAAAACCTTTTCCATTCAAAACTAACCAGAAACATCTGTCATTAAACTTGCTTAATTAATATCTCAAAAACCAAAGTAAAAGTACTTTAAGAAAGCATTAAGTACTTTATTACATTATCAAAACTTGTTGCAGACATGATTTTAGATCATGCGATAAACTATCTTCAGAAAACTTTATGAGTTTTGAACCATACTTTATGCTAATCTAGTCCAAGTTGTGAATTTATGACCTCTTTTAGAGGCAAAAAGTTTAAATATATTCTCCAGTCGTCTTGTTTTCATTCCCCTTTTCTGGTTTCATGCTCAGTTTAGATGGGATATCTCATAAAGTGCCAACGTGGCGCTAGAGCAACTAAGCTCCTGATTCGAGCTTCATCCTTCGTAAAGATAGATACGCCAAGAATCTGTAGCCAACAACCATGGCTACCAACACAGCTACTTCAACGTAACCGTCATCTATTTTGATCCCATTGATAGAGTCACCTATGTGTTCATATTGTACCTTCAGAAGAAGCTTGTAGGTGTGATAGTTAAAGGAGAGGTGGCGAAGCCATGATATGAATACTGGAACTTTCTGCACCACGAAAATGCCACAAATTATTATGTCTAAGTTGTAAATATTTGCAGACTTAAGCTAGTAACATAGAAAAATGTTATCTAAATTTTGCATGCTTACCTTGACAAAGTACCCACCAGCCAACATGAAGGTCATTACTGTGACAGAAGCTAGAGTTGTAGCCCTTTTCAAATCCATCAGGGTAGCACCAATAGCTAGCCCAAGTCCCTGTTGTTTCACACAAAGTAAACTTTTTTGTGGGAATTGTTTATTTTTTAAACTAGATTGATCTTGTAAAATTGAGAAACAGGGTACCTGAGCAGCTATAATACAGAGAAAAACTGTTAGCATGGTGAGGAAAAATGAACCAACTTCCATTCTTAAGCCTGCCATGAAATATACAACAACAAGAAATACAACTGGCAGTAGAAGGTCAAGTGGAAGGTCACTTGTGGTTCTGGCCATAAAATAGGCACTTAATCTATACATGTCAGCTGCACGTTCCTTGCTCAGCATAGCTCTTTCTTGAGGAAATGCGAATATAGCTGTGAAAACGGGAAAGAATCCCCAAAAAACAGCAATGAAGAACAGCAACCCTGCCTGCAACATAATTTTCTCATTATATTGGATCATTAACCTCGGTGAAGAAAGCATTGATGAACAGCAATACCAGTACTTTTTGTTATTCTTATAATCTATCCCATTTTGCCTTATGGATCTAGGGATTCTTTCCCCCAAAATTTTCTGTAACCTAGTACATATAACATGAAGCAGTGTTATAGTTCTGATTGTGGCAAAACACTGTGCATGTTCGGTAAAAAAAGTATAATGAACAAGATTTAATCTTCTTTTTCTTCCCTATTGTCCAATCCCGTACAGCCCAATCTACAAAATAGGCCATTATAGGAAATTTTACCTGATCTTGCAGTTTGGCAGTGCTGTCACCACCAGATTGCCACCATAGCAATCCAAGGACGGTTGCGGTAGCTATAACTTGAGTAATTCTTAACCAGCTAAAATAATCGTGTCTCCGTTCTTTTAGTCCTCTCCTGACTAATATGGAATACTGTTCCCACCAACTTGCTCCCCATTCTCTTTTGGCAGAAAATAATTTGGTCTTGATTTCATCATCAATCGGAATAGGATCCATAAGTTTCTTCTTCTCACTTTCAGCAACTCTTGTCTCATAGGCCTCCACAAGATACTGCTTCAGAATAAAATATGATTAGGTAACTAGTAACTTCATGATTGCTTTATATTTTTCGTGAACAATTTGCAGTGTCATTCTTACCTCGTGGACCACTGCTGGAGCAGGTTTTCCGCCTTTTGTCTCCGTTTCTGAATTCTCCATATGCACCTTATCTTCCAATTCGGATGGGACAGAAATATCAGTGACATTTCCATTTGCAAGGTCAAGCATGAATTCTGCAGGGTTCATTGCAATGAGGGGAGTACATCCTATGGATGAAAAGTAAACCATTGCTTCTGATGCCTGTCCAAAATAAAGCAAGCTTCCTTTGCCAAGAAGAATCAACTTGTTAAACTTGAGGAACAGTCTGCTCGACGGCTGGTGGATTGTGGTTATCACTGTTTTGCCAGCCTACCATAAGATTACTATAATTAGAAACTAGGTACCTCCAAAACATTTATAGTTGCGTATTGAACTTGTTTTATTTGATAATCATGGTACTGATTCAAGTAAATTGAAAGAGAATATCTGTTTCAGAAGCATATACCTCAGCTATGTCATGTAAAGTATCAATAATCCTCAAAGCAGTTGTAGAATCCAAACCAGAGGTTGGTTCATCGAGAAACAAGATAGATGGGTTGATTATTATCTCATTCCCAATGCATACGCGCTTCCTCTCTCCACCAGAAACACCCCGAACAAAGGAACCACCGATCATGGTGTCTTGGCACCTGTAAACATATGTTCCTCATACATCAGCTTTGATAATGAATTTCTCGATTTTTCTGAATTTTACTGGCAGTCCTCTGTTTATAAATTCGAATTTCGAGTCTTGAAGTGAACACATAACATAAGATCAAGTTCTTCAACAGGTAATTGGATTGGACGTTTTAAATAACTGTCTAGAAGAATGAAATTGAGAAATATTTACCTCTCTAATCCTAACTCGTCTATAACATCCATGGCTCTTTTCTTCTTTTCCTCCTTCGTCAATGCCCTTGGAAGTTGTAAGAGAGCTGCATATGTCAATGTTTCTTTCACCGTAAGGTGAGGAAATAGAACGTCGTCTTGAGTCACGAATCCTATCCTGCCACACATTTTATTTCATATATGTTATAAACTTTGATCTGATACATTAATAAGTGAACACTATGTATGCATCTAAGATCAAATGCTGAAGAAGTATATCAAATTTATCAGCACAAAGTCACCTTCTTTTTAGGAGCTTTGAGTAAGGTTGATCGCTATAAGTAATTGAACCGCCTGGTGCGGGCTCTCTTACTCTCCCTCCAAGTAGACTCAGGAGGGTAGTCTTTCCACTTCCCGATGGTCCCATCAGCGCCAAAACTTCGCCTGGATCAGCTGAACCAGTAATTCCATTTAGAATATCTTTTTCCACTGTCGATGTCACTCCTTTCAGAACAACCTTGTACGTCACATCGGTAAACTGCACAATTTAGAAGAAAAATCATTTATCACGTGAATAAAAATAAATTCATTTAGTATACTAGGTTGTCTTAGCATAGCTAGCTCAAAAACTGTACTTTTAGCTTTCCATTCGCTAATAATACGTGTTCCATACCATTTCGACCACTGCAGGTTTTTGGTTAGAGATATTGAGTAGTTGAATCCCAACTCATTTTTTTGCTTCCTTATTCTATGTTTTTGTTTGTTAAGGAAAGTCTTGTACATAAATGCCATGTAAAATGAAATTCTGTACAAGACTGAACCTGACATGATAGCCATGTTAGCGATGATCTCTACATAAACCTCCATCCTTCCCTGTTCAAATAGATTGTATCAAATCAATTAAGTCTTTTGTATGGAACACGGATTTGAGACCAGGTTTATGCTTTCCTTAACAAATTAAGAAAGAAAGGTAAGTGTAGTCGATGAAGTTATATTACCTTGAGGTAGATTGGTAAGGTAGGTTCGGTTTGAATTTTCTTCTTACGCAAGCCGGCCTCAAGATCTTCAGCTGTAGTACGAAGGAAATACGAAAAAGGAAAAAATGAAACATCGTCTGCATGGAGAAATGAACTATCTTTCACCAAACATAGGCTAAAAGAATCAACCCTTTTCACTCTTCGGATACTTATGTTACTATTACCTTCTGTACGAGTCCACATTGGTTTCCATGTAAGACTGTCCCCTCCATTTATTTGCACACTTCATTACGATTTTGAGGTGTCAAAAACTCACTAAACTTCGCTATAACTTTTGAAGTGTAACCATTATAACTTTGAAACTTCAAAATTTTAGTGAGATCGTCACAATTCTATAAAGAGCCAGTCTTACGAGACAACAAAGTTTGGTCCATGGAGCCCATATACTTTCTACAGGCTATTATTTGCCAATTCCCACCAAAGTAAAGCCTAAAGCTCATTTCTACAAAAGGGACCTACTTGTGACCTAACTTCCTTTAATTTACAATAATTGGGGACAAGTGTCTTAAAAAAAATTGTAGGTTTCCCTTTAAATGGTTGGATTAGTGATAGCTTTGTTTCTACACCACTTGCATGGTTGACTCATTTTCATAGTTGGTGATTTCGACTTTCCATTCTTGACTTGGAGCACTACTTATCTTTAATACTCCATTATTTGATGGGTGAACAATTTTTTTACCATATAAAACAAATAATGCCCATACTGAGTGAAAAGACATCACTATCGAATATTAGTTAATTTACTCCTATCGTCCGTGTGAAATTCATTTTTTCGCTAAAGACAACTAGTACAGTTTTCATAAATGAGTAACTATGAGACTTGAACAAGTGAAATCTATATGATCTGATATTATAATGAATCATAATATCCAAAAGTAGTTGTCGTTCATATAGTTTCTTTCCCTCCGAGGGAGGCCAAAAGGGGAAGGTGTACAACTACAATCATAAATTTCAAGAGGTATACATAATGGTAGGACTAACGCTCAACGTAAAGGTTTTGAAATCAAATCTAGCTTTTGTTTCGATTCTTTAGGGTCGAACTTATCACTTCTAAAATATAATTGTTGCATAAAATAAAACTAAACATTGTGAAGCACGGGCCATTCTCTCATTTTTCTTCTAGTTCTATAATTATAAGTTTCACGTGAGCGTTCCGTTTGGTTCATGAATTGGGAACTTGCTGTTACATTGATGCATGCACGAGTTAGTATCCAAAAAAAAGTTCATTTTTCTTCTATAGCCTTTTCTCTTCTCATACAAGAACTGGTACCAAAAATTGGTACGGTGACTCATGTCGTAGGACGCTGGCCGGAGGCCCGCATGGCAACGACATCTTCTCGGAATCGACAAACCCAACCCAAAAGCTGGCTTCTCGATAGCACGCTTCTGAAATACTAGCTTATGACACTCGTGAACAATTTCAATTTTTTGTCTGTTGATGGCCGTTAATTAGCTTACCCTCAGAAAAGGGTAAGGGGGGAGGGGTGGGGTGGGTGGAGTCGGTATATGACAGGAGATGACAAAAACACCCTCATAATGTAAACATTAGAAAATATGAACCAGAAAACTATGGGGTGTTAGGTCTTTTTACTTGAATTTAATGCTTGCGTATGTGTATGGACCAGATAGAAAGTAGCAAGCGAGCTTAGAAATGAAGTATTTCTGATATAGAAAATAATTAACTTATAATTAAGTGAAACTTACGAATTTCATCATCACTAAATGGTTTCAGATCTGCAATCTCATCTGGTGGCATGGTAAAGCCGGTGAAAGTGAACGAGAACCCTAAGCTAGCGCTGGACGCCCTACTCAAGGCGGCGCCACTGCTAACATCATCAAGGTCAAATTTCATCTGAGCACTTCTCGACTTCCGAATGTGCGTGTTCCTACCGATGCTCCGCCCTGGCGAGGCAGCCGCCAGCCGCCTGCTGGATTTCCTCGACAGGTTGGAACTACTCTCCGGTCCAACGCCAACGGCTGCCTCACTCGATGATGACATTGGAGACTTCATTGCAGCTAGTGCCGCTGCCATTGTCTCGACCAGCTGATCGGATTTTGTTCGTATCAAACTAGTTGTTGAGTTCGCTTTCTCCATCATTAATTATCTGTTATCATCAAACCAAAACTTGGATGTTACTGCAAGCAATCATGCAAGCTAAAATATGTAGAACGAAATTGATTTATCATTTTTAACATCTATCGATCTCGAGATTCATTTAGCATAAACTAATAATACGAACTTGATTAATTATATATATATATATACACACACACACCTTGAAAGTGTAATGAATGCAAGTGTTGGGAGGGAACACTATTATAAGCTCGAACAACTTTCAAATGAAACAACTCTTCCTTTTATAAGGGAAATTAAGAGGGTTTCTAAAGTTACAAAAGTACCCCTAAGCTTTTTAATTATTAACAAATCTGCAAAATTCTACATTTTTTTTATATATATATATATATATACACACCTTGAAAGTGTAATGAATGCAAGTGTTGGGAGGGAACACTATTATAAGCTCTAACAACTTTCAAATGAAACAACTCTTCCTTTTATAAGGGAAATTAAGAGGGTTTCTAAAGTTACAAAAGTACCCCTAAGCTTTTTAATTATTAACAAATCTGCAAAATTCTACATTTTTTTTTAAAAAAAAATACTTGACTATAGTAATAAACTCTAACATTAGGATAAAATTCATAAACCAATGTCTGATAGATTTCTTGAGATCAAATCATAGTGGTAATTCTGGTTAAATATGTTTGGTGCACAATTTTTGTACAATAAAATAAGTAAATCGTAATTAATCAAAAAATTGAAAAACCCTTATCGAGATATACACGTGTTCGGAAATTTTATTGTTCTATTTTTGTGGAATTCTATGAAGTCTCTTCGTCAATTTGGTTACGCTACGAGTCCCTATAATAAAACTTTTTAACATTTATTGAGTTAGTGGCACACAGCTAGCTCACGATGTTACATACAGAATAGCTTTCGCTGATTTCTGGAGATCACGTCATTATGACAGTTCTTATTAAATTTGTTCGGTGCACAATTTTTCCTGCGTTGAAATAAGTATCGAAATTAATGCAAATTTTGAAAAATACTTATCAAGATATACACGAGTTGGGAAATTTCGTTGTTCCATTATTTGTGGAATTTTATGAAGTCTCGTAATAAAACTTTTAACATTAATGAATTCTTAACCTTATTAGGTGGTTTTGATGCAGCTAGGGTTATCAAATAGTTGAAGACGACAGGGGGCATGCAACATGGAGGAACAATTTGAGGCCGTTGTTTGATCTTAGGTTGCCTCTTTGCTAGGGCAACCAGTTTGGAGTTTTGCCATATCCAGTGCTTAGCTTACATTATTCTTTTTTTTTCTTTTTTTTTTCTCTTCATTTTTGGGATAATGTCGGAAACGATAATTTTGAAGAATATTTATATTATTTCATCACGATGTGGTCATGATCACGTCATCGTTTAGAATTTTGGAGGAATTTCTTGTTTTTCTCAAATGTTTTTATTTGATTTTTATGCTTTAATGTTGAAAGTATGGCAAAAGTCTATTGATTTATTAAATGTTTGATCAAACAAAAAGAGATTTGATGCCTATTGAGCCATTAAGGAGTAGTCTATTAATCTAGCATTTGAGTTTGATTTAATGTCTCAACTCATTCTCTTTGGCTTGATTTTAGGTCTAGACTCATTCTCTATGAACCAATGTTTCAATTCATAGTCCCTTACTAGACTTCTAAAGGGGTCGGACCACTTAGGTATGTGACATTTTTAAAAATAAGAAGGGTGTTTGAAGCCTCAAACGACATACTAGTTTAACCAAATTGTTTTATAACTCTATCCTCACAAGGCTTTAACGTCAAAAAATTTAGGATCCGTTTGCAGACTTCTACCGCTTGTAGAATAGCTTTCTCAAAGAAACTAAACACTTCCATAAAATCATTCAAAAATGTTGAGAAACAACTTCGAGGCCATTGGCATGGCTTTTACTTTGGCTTTTAGCGGAAGCTAACTTAATTTTTGTTTGAAAATTAATTTTTAAAAACACTTTATATTCTAAAAGTGCTTTTAAAGAAAGACACATTGGACCAACTTCCTCTAAAAAATCTTCTAACCGACAAAAACACTTCCATTTAATTAGTCAAACGAATTCAAAAACTGTTTTTGGACCTCAAAACCTCCTTTTAACTTTTCAAAAGTCATATCAAATGTCTTAACCTCATAAATAACTTTTGACTTTTCAAACGAATCTTTAGCGTGACATGAACATGTCCGACTACGGTAGGGTTCGAGATTGTTACACAATTAACAAAAAGTTGCCACGATAAGATGAACGGTTGCAATCTGTGAAACGGGGTTTGGACATTCTTGAGTGTTTTGACAATACAGTATTTGTAATTGCCTCGTGGCTAAGTCACAAGAAGTCGTAAATCTATTCAAGTACTGTGCACTCAATTTTCAACTGAGTTTGTTTTCTTGTGTTGAAAACACAGCTCTGTAGTACAGATTTTTGAGTTCTCACTTTTTGAAAATGCCAAAAACTTCTTTTACAGACCACTTTAAGAAAATGACTTTGGGCATTGTCTATATTCTATAGTAGCGACAACTTATTAGAAAAATTTCTAAATAATTATTTTTAAAAAATATTTACAAACGAAATTCCAGTGCTCGTTTGGAAAATATATTCTGTAATAGTGATTTTTTTTTTTTAGAAAGTATGATTGAAAAAATAAGAAAAAAATTTGAATTTACGCGTAAAATAATTTTATTTAAAGAATATATGATTAAAAATGAATGAGAAAAAAATGTATTCGTTAAAGTTAAGTCCATGTTTGGTTACGATTGAAATTCAAATTTTAATTTAGATCAAAATTAACAGTTAATTTTGACAATACGACTCACAAAGTTTTTAACTTTTCAAACACATATTTTATAAATTTTTATCTAAAAATCTTATTCTAATTCACAGGGCTTAAGAAAAAAAGGTGCGGAGGGTCCAAAAGAGGCGGTGCCGTCCAAAGGCACGTGATAAGGACGTCGGCGTGTGGTGTCGATCGGCGCTGGACACAACTCAGTGACTGGCAGTAGTTTCACCATACACGTGGTACTAAATGTATCTATTACTTGCTCTGATTTCTTCCACGTGGATTCTAAGATCACGAAACACTGATGATTAGATAGTAATTAACAGGAGATTTTTCAGCTTTTTTTGAAAGTGACATCTGCTTTAATTTTCCAATTTTATTTTAATCACATTGATTATATGATTGTCTTCGCAAAGGTCCACTTTTTTATCCTTTTTGGTAAAAGAGAATGGTATTTTGCGGTTAGGTTAGTTGGTAGAGATAAATGATTGAAAAATAAAATACAATAATCAATTAAGGTTTTTTTTTTTTATCAAATACAAAATCGACTAAGATGAAAAGAAAAGAAAATAAAACGCTAAACGAGACATTATGTTTAGTCGACATTATCTGATTGATATTGAAGAGCGGTTCAACTCCGCACCATTAAATACGAATTTAATGTATAATCTACTCAACAAATTCACGTTTTGTTTTTTATGACAAATTTGCTTTTATTAGTGTCAATATAGTTTTATGGAAGCGATCAAGTTTTGGTTAGGCATCATTTCAGCCTATACCTTAAAGCTTCTTCTTTTTTTGGAGATATTAAGAGCTTGTTTGGGAAAACTTAAAAGTTATTAAAAAATTGATCCACAATTACTATTCTTTTTTAAATCACTCATTTCATGGGGTGAACGCTACTCTTTTTCTTTTTCTTTTTTTTTTTATTTTTTTCTGGTTCCATCAAGACCAGTCTTTTAACTTTCCAAATAAGCACTGATTCCTTGTTTGTTGGCTATTTTTTTCTGAAAAACATTTGTTAACATCTTATCTGCGGTCTAATTAAGACCGATTGTTACATACACTTAGTTTATTCTAATTTGAGATCGGCTTTATAAGGTCCGCTCGTAACGCTGTGGTTCAAGGGAACACAATGATTATAAATTTTTTACACATTGATAAAATATCCAATCAAATTAATTATTGCATTCAGAACTTACGTCGGTGCCCACTTATTTCACCAATCATATAATGTAATTTCTATGTAATTTCGCCCACTCACTATTTCATTAATTGTTAGAGACCCACCTAAAGGATGGTTTCATGATAAACTGACGAAGCCGACCTCAGTAACCAATAGAGATATGCCAATAGTGTACTTTTTCAATTCGGCACTGGTGATTGAAAAGACGAGAATGAGGATGATGCTGGATTTTCTTTTCCTATAAAATGGTGTAAGGTATCTTTAGGAAATGGGAGAACACTTTCATATTTCAAATATCTCATTTGTTAAGACTTTTGTAATTTAAAAGTAATTATCAATAAAAATTCTTATTTTCTCTTTATTTGCTCAAAAAGTTGACTTAAATTGATTCTTACACTTTTTAATGTCAACAACATTGTTTTAAATAATGAATTTTTGGAAAATATGTGGTTAAAAAGTAGGAAAAACTTCTGAGTTTACATGTATAATATTTTATTGTATGAATGTGATTGGAAATGAGTATGCATTGGAAAAACGAGAAACAAACAGAGGCTAAATGAGTACTTATCATATGTAAACTGTAACATTTTCGATAATTATTTTTCAAGATGGTTAGTGGTCTATAGATTTTAACTACTCTTGAACAATCTATTGATGAATATAATAAAATTATTGAAATCAATCTTTTGCCTTAGTAACTATAATGACCTCATTTGTCAAGTTCATTACTTTTAGTTAAAAAAAACTGGTTCAATTTATTTATTTAACTTTTCCAAGTTTTTAGTTAGAAGATGATTTACTGATTATTTTAGTCATACAATAATAATAAAAATGGATAGTCTTTCGAGGTACAAAATAATTTTACACATAAATTCATAATTTTTCTTAATTTATAACTACACTTTTTTTGAAAATTTCATTTGTACTTTAAATGATCCCTCCCAAAATTATGAAAAGAAAAACCCGATGACTAGAAAATGTAAACTTACATAATAATTCTTATTCAACAATGATGTTTGGTGTACATCATCTTTTACATTTTCACGTGATAATATACCATTCGACGTATTATAAAAAAAAAAAAGGGTTTTTCACTTAATCATTTGTTAACAGTTAGGATAATGTCAACGAAAAAAAATTCAATCATGAGAGGAAATGGAATTCGACTTGTCAGAGAGAAGTCACAAATGTAAAAAGAAAAAATTAGTAGCAATTAGCTGTAGCTAATGGACTTGTCACCAAATAAAGAAAAGGTGCAGCACCTCATTCATAACTCTCTCTATCCATATTTACACATTTTTATCTTACCAAAAATTTAAATATCATCATAGTTCATTCATAATTTATAGGATAATTTTCCAACGTGACGAATAGTTCATGTGGCACGAATGTCATCAATGTATTAAAATTTTTGACACTCATGTCATAAACGTTAAATGACCATGTAGCACTCACATGATACGCGTATGAGTTGAAGTAATAGTATATATTTAATGAACCCGAATATTTATACCCTATTTGAGTTTCGAAGAATGTTTTGGAAGGACAAGTTCAGTTTGAAATCAAGTGACTATCACGTGGCCATTTAATATTTTTCGTTAGCTGAAGACATGGTTGCCGTACCTGCGAAAGGTTTAGGGCACGAGTACAACAAATGGTAGGTTAAGGATATAATTGTCATATTTGCGAAAGGTTGGAGACCCCTTGTGGAATTTACACTAATGTATATTATATTACAAGATATTAAATATAAAAATCCTAGAGAAACAAATAAAGATGAAAAAAAATAAAAGTCTATTTTTCATAAACCAACAAATGCCTATTTTCAACGTTCTATTGAAATGTGCGAGTAATACACAAAATTCACGATATCCCTATTTTTAATTTTGTCAAGTCGAATTATATCCAATCTAGAGTGTGGAACCTGTCGGGAGGAAAAATTTTCAAATACGATAATTGCAGTGGTCCTCGTGACCATAGAAATAAAGTGAAAAACGACATTGGCGAACCTTATCACCTTTTTTTCCCTTGTCTTCCTTACAGGAGGTTGACAAAGATTGATGAAACAAAAGTTGATTGGTTCGATAATAGGATTTTTCGAAAAGTTAAGAGGTAGTTGTACGTAATAAAAAGGTGTTAGGTTTGGTTTCATGTGCATTGGTTCTGCACATGAGAAGAAGGAAAAAAGGTGTACCAAGTTGGTAGCAGATTGTGAAAAAAGGCAGAAATTGTGGGTCATCAATAGCATCAAATTACAACTTTAGATGTCACTATTTGAGTAATAGTTTCCCATGCCTTTCTAAAACTAAACAAGTACTATTCGATTAAGAATTTAATCTCGATTCACTGGGATGGTAATACAACAACCTGCGCGTTTTAAGCACGTCATAACTTTCGAGATGAACTTAACTTCCACGAATAAATACCGACAAGAAAAATAACCCTGAAGAAGATGAGTACATGGTCGACAATAAAATAAAAATAACCGAAAAAGGAAAGTTAAAATAAAAGAATTGACAGATGATACAAAGAGGACAAACTAAAAGGGCAGAGGAAAGTCCACTGCCTTCTCTATATCCTGACTAATCTTTACAACATAATGCACTCAAATTTTCTGATATCACTACAGTCAAATTTACACAGATGGTAGAAAATGGTAAAAATTTCAAACATTACCCAACTTAAGAGCATTCTTTGGCATGATGTTCATACTTTCTGCAAATCCTTCTTTCCAAAATCAGTATCTTGCATCATGGCCACAAACTCACTATAATCAATCCGACCGTCCTGAAAATAATAATAAAAAAATGAAAATTGTAAATTCGAGCACATTTCTTCTAAATTTCGTGTAGTCTATAACACATTTGGATAGAGCAAGAATTTTTTTGTTGTAAAAAAGAGAATGTACATTATCTTGATCAACTTCCTGGATTATTTCTTCTAGGTGAACATCCCCCAAACCAAATTGCTCACAAGCCTGTTGAAGCTCATCTGGTGTAATGTACCCACTCCCATCTTTGTCAAAATACGAAAAAGCTGCAAACATGTGATCCTCTTTTTGGATTTTGTTCAGGTGGAGCATTGCTGCTACAAACTCCCCGTAGTCTATAGTTCCGCTATTGTCAATATCAGCCTACATTATCATGAAAACGAAACAATTTTTTTTTATCAATGTGGATCAAATGTCCAAATAAATAATAACGAGAGAAAGTGCAAATGTAGATTTCACAAAAATCCTCAAGTGACTACCTCAAGACAGGTTAAGTTGGGTATGCTTTTTCCAATTCTATCATGTTCCACTGATAAGCTTCTTTAGAGCTACAAAATAGGCCATCAACTTGTCACTACCATTAATTTATCCATGATGTGTTCACTTCCACTTGATGTGTAGCTTCATTTCTCATTTAATTCATTCTATTATGGCTACAAATTCATCTTAAGATCCTTATGATCATTTTATCCTTTATATAGCTAGTCTATTTGTTGTTCTATATATATTTTTCTTTTTTAATTGGTACTGATTGTTGTTCTCTATATAACATTCTTTCTAAATTAGTGTCTTTAATTTCTTTCAACTCACTTTAGTCCAACGATACCTATTATTCCCAATGATGAGTACTATAAACAATAGCTAATCTAATTGTTTTTCTATATATAACATTCTTTTTGGATTAGTACTAACTGTTGTTGTATGTGTAACATTCTTTTTAAATTGATAAGTTTCTTTAATTTCATCCAACTCACTTTAATCCAATGCTACCTATTACTTTTCAAGTTCTCTCTCCTTGTTAAAAATCAAATATAAATACCTAAAACAATCTCTATTTGAGACAACAAGTCCATATATGTTGACCTTTAGGTTGAAAGTAAACATATGCAATAAAACTAAGTCCTTTATATTTGAAGTCAACAATCTCTCTTAAGATCCATAGACTATCATACAATTGATCACCAATGGAGACTATATATAAAGTCGTGTGATCTCTACTCTATAAGATTTATAACTCAAACCAGAGACAGGCAAACCATAAAAAGTTTCCCACTGCAACAGATGATTGATAAGTAGTGAAAGAAAGCTCAGAAAGAAAAACTTATCTCCACTTACAGCTTGCATAAGACTCGTTATTTCCGAATCTTTAAGATTGGAACCCACTCTTACTAAACCATTTTTCAGCTCTTCTAAGGTTATTTGTCCGCTATTATCCACATCAATCATTTTAAACATTTCTTTTAAACCTGCAATTTCTTCCTCAGAAAGACTTTCAGCAATAACCTGTTGATAAGAGACATAGATTTAATCAGCAATGACATCAAATTAACTATTGGTACACACAAACAATATGAATATACAGAATATCACATTCTTTTTCGTTTGCTCATTTTTCTAACTGTCAAAAACTATAATTTTCTTTAAAAACCTAACTAAAACCAGAGTGAAAAATGCAAACGACATGCCTTATCAGCAACATTAGGGGAGATTGCTAATGGAAATTTAGGGACGCTCTACTTCTTACAAATGCAATTTCCACTTGTATAAGCATATTACACGCTAATCCCAACTCAAGCATGGAGAAATCAATTATTACAGTAATATCACTTCGGGATAACAACTATATTCACTACTTTTTCAACAACAAATATTTAGAGTAAAGAGAGACTAAAATAACTTACTCTGATAACTATCTTTTTGAGTTTATTCATGGCAGAAAATTGCTTTAGACGAGATAGAACAGCAGAATCGAGAGGCTTATCTAGAGCTACACCATCAACTTGTACCCATGGATGACCTACAAATAGATTATGATCATAAATGTCATTCAGATTTCAACACTTGGGATACAATGCAACAATCAGGATACACAGCTATAGGATAAAAAATATATGCACATTTTATTCATTTGAATATCTGAATCGGTTAGTCCTAGTGGTTCTACAAACAATAAATCTGTCTATTCAATGTAATTGCTACTTCTTATTGTTTTCCAACATCTTTTGTCATCATTTTCATGTATTCATTGGTCTTATATAGCTCTATCATTCAATTCTCAAACTCAAATATCAAATTGATGAAATATTTTCATTGACACTATGCTTATACCACCTTAAATAAATATAAGTTGATATCTAGTCATATCTTTCACTTTGAAAACATTACTCTATCGATCGTTTTTTCCCTTTACACTTTCAACCTTTTACATAACCAATTTATAATTCATCTCTAATATAATTCTTCATAAATATTCATTTTTTCCCATCAGAAAATAATTAATTTTTTGCATTATCATTGTATTTTCTCTATTAGAGAGCAAAGGAAATAACTTTTTTTAATGTCTTTTGTTAGAAGCAGATAAGAACCAATATGATTCAACAATAAAGACAAAATTAAATAACCCTCTGTAATATTTCTTAGATCAAGTGGTTCAACTACTGGCTTGATAGGAAAAAATGAACCCCCTACACACGATGTGTGCATGTTGAACACAAAATTCAAATGATATACAAGTTGTTCTCTCTAAAAGCTTAAACTTTCTGATCAAGTGGTTCAACACAATAAAATGCTAGTTTCCACTCCACAGATTTTTTTCCTTCACAATTGATATTTTACTTGGAAAGTTTATCTACACATTAGGAAAATTTGAGTAAATTCCATGGAGTATGATATGTCACAAGGTTGTGAAAGAAACTCAAATCACTTACTTGGAAGTCCAAAATATTATTATGTAGCATTCACTACTTTATATACCATTGCAAGGGGAGGAAGGAAAATTTTTTATTGTACAATAAGAATTATGCATGAAATTTCTCAGATACCATATGCCATATACTATTGCTTTCAACAAAAAGCCCAGCATAGATTGCCCCTTCACATTAGATAAAAGAAAGTTTCTGACTCTTTCTACTTGAGTTTTAAAAAAAATAAATAAATAAATAAAATACTCTTTTCACTTCTTTTGATACATGAAGAAACAATGGAGTTCTTCCGAAAGAAAAAGCATGTTAATGTACCATCTATGCTCTGAATAACTATTAAAAATCATATTTCAATGGTACGTCAATTTATGTTAGTGCACAATTACACAACACCATTTTGCATTTATTGAAGTAATAAGGTAAATATATTAACAAATTGATTCCCAAAGACCTAAAACATCATCATATCGAGCACAACATACTCACATAGAACTTGATGGGCCGTCAGTCGCTTCTTTGGATCTCGTACAAGCATTCTTCTAACAAGATCTTTTGCACTATCAGATACACTAGGCCAGGGTTCTGATGCAAAATCAAGATCTCCTTTCAAAACCTGCTCAAATATCCCTTGTTCCGTTTCTGACACATAGCATAAGTTTGCAAGCAAGAATCAGGTTCATCCACTGGATTCAAGCATAGCACAATGAAGCAGGAAACAATAGATATCAAGAACAAACTCTTACCATCCCAAAATGGTGGGACCCCACTTAGCAAAATATATATGATAACTCCAGCACTCCAAATGTCACATTCTGGACCATAATGCTTCCGCAATACCTCTGGAGCCACGTAGTAAGGGCTTCCAACCACATCGTTGAATGTTTCACCTGAGAAAAGATATTAGCACTTAATCAAACATAAGAAAGCATGACAGAAATACAAGTTAGGTAGACAAAAGAATGAAAACTAAAACAGTAAGAACACAAGCAAGATTATGCTGAAACATCATCGAAGAAGGCACTGATGATATGTATTAAGGGCAAAAGATTTTATCCGTAAGAGGTTAAGTGGCCAAATACCCACTCAAAGTGGACAGTACGAATGATATAACAACTTGGGTATAGAGACTCGGATTGTTCCACATATATTAACACCAATCAAAGTTGGAAGCAACGTTGAGAATTTAGGCATGGTTGGCTCATGGCTGTGTTGTCCACGAGACTAGTTCCTGAACTAGAATGAAGATAATGAAGATTGTTAGAGCTTGTTTACATAGGTAAAATACCTTTTCCCAACTAGTTCGAGCCTGGATGGTCTCCCCTCTTTTAGCAACTGTATTTATCATGTACTATAAGAACTAAGCCATTTGTGTTATAGTAAATTTTCTGAGTAGATGATGTCGTGCATAACTTTTTCATTTATCTTTCAGCTTCAAGATATATTCAACTAATCTTTCACAGTGCTTTGTGGTTCAACCAAGTTAAGATATTACTTAATTTTATCATGTGTTTCTTCCTTGCTAAAAACATTTGGACTTCTAGTTAAATAATTTCTACCAATCTTCATAATTAAAAGAACTAGATATCACGTTGGACTCGTAGAAATTTTTTACATTCAATTCCCTTTTAAACTTATTCATCAAAATTTCTAAGATGTTCTTAATTTATGGTTAGTATAATATTTTTCGCTTCTAACCCTTCTAACATGGATGATTTCACATTACAAGATTAGCCCTGTATTTTGAAGCACTTAGATGTCATGGATGGTAATGACCGTTGGTTTCAATCAAGTAAAACTCTCAAGGGCATACTATTAAAAATATGCGAGTGAACAACCTCCTAGATAGTTGCCCACCAAAGTTAGAAAGCCAAAAAGGTCTCAAAATTAAAGGGCTTTATTTCTGCATTTTGTAAATGTGAATTCACTGATAACCAACTTACATCTCACTTAAAACATTCCAAAAGGCAAACACACTTAACAATGAATAGTTCAAAGCACTGATTCTGTGACGTTCATTGGAACAATTACACAAAAGGCAAACATAAAAAATAATAGATGAATACCTGGCCTGAAGAACATTGAGAGCCCAAAGTCAATGGCCTTAAGTGATGACTCTTCTTCCTCATTAACGAAAAGAAAGTTCTCCGGTTTCAAGTCTCTATGCATAACCCCTAAGGAATGACAGGCTTCTACAACACCAACTATTGTCCGAGCAAGATTAGCAGCCTTTCTTTCTGTGTAGTGCCCCCTCTGCACTATCCTATCAAAAAGCTCCCCACCTGCACATAGCTCCATCACGACATGAACTGCAACTGCATCCTCATAAGCTCCTATAATAGATATCACATTAGGGTGTCCGGCCAAGTGATGCATTATCTGGATCTCCCTCCTAACATCCTCTACATCCTCCTCAGTAGTCAACTTCCTCTTAGCAATTGATTTGCATGCAAATTCTTTCCCCGTTTCCTTCTCCACACATAAAAACGTCGTTCCAAATTGCCCTTGTCCCAACTTCCTTCCCAAACTATATATCTCCTTCAAATTCTCGGTCTTTCTCTGTAAAACTGATTCAACTTGTAGGCCCATACTAGATAATCTCTTAACGTGATTAACCTTATTCTGTTTTGTCCCCTCTACCGGCTTAGTTTCATCAGCATTGCTTGTGGGTATTTGGGGCTCCGGTGGTTTGGCACCCTCGCTGGCAATTTTTAGAGGTGTGGGCGGAGTGTTTGGCCCATCCAACTTAGGCTGAGTCAAACCAGAACCTTTACCCTCTGAATTCACTGAGCTTTCATTTTTACCATTCGGGGCCGGAAGGGTCTCTGGTTGATGGGTTTTCCAAACCGCATTGGTGACAGATTGTAAGAAGCCATTGTTCCCCAAACTTTTGGGACCTATACATGTGTTACCCATCAAATGCAATAATCTACCTCAATAATTCCTAACCTTCTCGAATTTCACCATCCAAACATGCCCTATTGATCCCATTCACAACAATGTGGCCTCAAAATTCAAGCTTCGTGATCAGATTGATGCAGGAATACCCACCTCTAACATACCCTAAGTTTTGCACCAAAATAGTTATCTTTTCAAATGTATCAAGGGAACAAACTGACATATATATATATATATAGATACATGCAATCTAAAATGCCAGAGTATTCAATTAATACAAATTGAATCGCCAAAAGCCCAAGAATTTGTAGTCAGACGAACAATAAATATTAGGGATTTGACTCGAAAAGAAAAATAAAATGAAGGCGTAAATTTGTTGATCGGAAATAAAATGTAGAAGAAAAGATTAAAAATAGAGAGGGAGAGAGAATGAAAAGCTGTGAGAAAAATATGGAGATATGAGGAGTGAGGGGGTGAGTCAACTCAGATTACGAAAAGATTAGTTAGTTGAGATTCTAGAATCTACAAAATGTTTTCTCAAAAATTGCAGGTGCCAACACCATTACCATTCCAGGCCACGTGTACACAGAGCGAGCTCGGCTCTGCCTGTGTTAGGAGTCGAGGCTTTCACCGCAAAGATTCTGAAATTCGACATGATTAAAGCATAAAATGCTTATTTTGCACCTCGTTTCAATAGATACAATTGCTTGCATGCATGGTGTGGGCTACGTCGTTACGAGCTTTTTCAGTTTTTTGGAAAAATTTATACAGAAAAATTGAATCAGAGCATTAAGCAATTGAGTCGATGGTGTCGACAAATTTCATACCTTTTCAATATAAACAATTTAATGCTATAAAAGAACAGATGAATCGAAGTAAATTTGTCTCGATCAATGTCAAATCTGTTAACAATTATTCTTGGCTCATCCTTCTAATATAATCAAAACAGATCTTCAAACAACAAAAATTTCAAGAAAGCGTTTCCTCTATTGTAAACACTAACAGTAGTGATGGAGAATTTTCTCATCCTTGTTTTGTTCTGACCACGATAAATGTGTTCCTAAAAGGAGAACTTAAAGGCACCCGCCTTAGAATCCGTTGCTGAATCCCAGAATGAAAGCTTCTTTTGCTGCATCTTTTTCTCCTCTGCTTTCAGTATCAACTGGTCAATGGTTCCAGGTAGAGACGACTCGATGGCATTCTTAAATTTGTCGTGCAAATTCACTCGATCTCTTGTTCCAGACACAAGAGTGCAAGCATTAGGCCGCTTTAGGAAGTCCAAAACATTCAATAAATTCCTCCTGCAACACAAAAAGAAGTTTATATGGGAACATCATTTCTGCCTCAAAACTATGTATATAACATTTGAAATTGCTACATATTCGTTAATGTAGTTCATTTCCTAATAATTTTGCAATATCGTTTTACACTGGTTAACGAAAACTGTTTTAAGAAAAATGTTTGAAAGATCTCCCTCTTTAACTTTGAAAGCATATTTCCCCACAAACATTGATTCCTATCCGTTCATCATATAACCTTCATTCAATCCGAATGAACTGGAACAATTCATCTTGATCAAGCTGCAATAGATTGGGCTATAGCATAAATGAGCAACCAAAGTTTTAGGATGCTCAGGATTGCTCAGTTCACTCTCAAAAGCCTCAAATAATTAACCTACTTGACACTGAGGTGCGCTCAAATAGGAATAGTAACCAGTCTCATTAACTGAATTCAACAAGCCATATATGAACCAAGCCTAAGTCACACTCTCAGATTCATTTCACAGTCCTATTCTATCATTAAAGAATCAAAGATATCATGTGATGTACAAATACTACCTGCACTTGTCAATAACTTTATTTGAATTTAGAGTTAAGCTTAGTGCACACTTTTTAGGCTAAAAAATTTTCTGCGCATCTAAAGAGTCTCAGTTGACACACCAGCTTACTCACATGAAGCACCTGACTTCTTACTTTCTTGATTACATGTTGAAAAACAAAGAAAAATTTTTTCATAACAGACCCAACCAATGAAAAATTATTTTGTCTAAAGAAACACAATGCCAAGACATGAATTTTTATTTTGTGATGTTGCCAAATAGAAGTAATATTCAAGCTCACAATCATAATAAATATTTAGTGTAAACAAGCTCCATCATTTATCTCTTTAATATCCTTCACTTATCTCTTTAATATCCTTCACTTCAAGCAGATCGGGTACTAACTATAGTTTTGTGCAACATACAGCATTCATGGAGATTTCATTTAATTTATTGCTTTTCTTTTAGTCTGAAGCATAAAATACTAAACAAAATCTGAACATATAGACATCAACTTTTGGTTCGGTTCAAAAGGAATTGCTGAGAAATATGTACGCTCATGCACAAACTGTTCCTATTAATTATAACACCATGTGAAGGTCATCTAATGCTTATTAAGCATCATTTGCAATATCAAGAGACCAGCATACACCACGTGAGATTTCAAAAGACTATAAGAAGAGGTGGAAAAGAGTCAGACAATCATCGCAATTAACTCGTGTATATAACACTAAATAGAAACAAAGCATCATACCTGCTAACATAATTTTGTGTAATGGCAACAGAATATTCTAGGTTAATAACCAAATGCCACCATCCACTAGGCACAAAGATCACTTCTCCTGCCTTGCAAACACACTCAACGGGTCTTTTCTTCCAACTTTTAGTAGCATTATAAAAGTTCATAAACCACTCAGTTATAGAAACAGGACATGCGACTTCTGCACCATCAGGGCTCGGATACACCCCAGGCGGTACAGCATCGGGGGGGAACAGCACCCATTTCTTGGACCCTTTAACCACTGCATTCCAAGCAGATGTAGAATTAGGATCAATGTGGAAAGACGACCCTGACCCTGCAGGTCCAATTATAATCCACCTATAATCTGGCCTCTCGTTGCCCAAAACATGAAATAAATCCTCATTAAAGTATGTTGGCACTTCATAATCCATATCCAACTGCGGAACTTTCTCTGCAAACTTTGGGTCAAAAAGATACAATGGCCTCTCCTCTCTCACTTGATCAGAGTACTTAAAAAAGTCCTCCAGCTTCATCTCCACTGGCCCAACTGAAAACCGGACATCACCACAAACCTTGACCAAATATTCCCTGTCCCACTGCTTCAATGCAGCCCAATTATCCAAACATCCTTCCAACAATACTGGCTTATTTGGTTCCTCAAAATTCAACACAAACTCCTCAACAGAAATCCCCCTTTTCCTCACTATAGTATCCCTCTCAAGCCATTCAGGTTTCATTTCAAGGTTAGCACAGAGCCAACTTTGAAACAAGTAATCAGAATAAAAATCCCTAACTTTAATTCCAGCACTCATAACATTATCACATGAAGGCTTGTATGCACAAACAAAAGTGTTCCTCCAAGACCCATTATACAAGAACCCACCTTTATAAGTTTCCAAAACAAGGTTCCTCCAGAGAGGCTCGTGGTTACAGAAAACATAGAAAGATTTGCTTACAGTTGATAAAATACCCAAATCTGACCCACCCAAAAGACCAATAATGTCAAGAACGAGTTCATCTGTAAGGGTTTGTAATTTACCGAGGCCGGTGTTTCTTGAATTGTAGGATGAAGCGCTGAAGTAAAGATTTCCTAATGGTTGGACCCCGTGGGAGTGTGATTGAGCCGAGCCCTTCAAGCTGAAATTACCATCCTCTCCGTCTCCTTCTGCTTCATATACTTTTTCTTCTTCAGATTCTTCATTCTTGAGAACCAAGTTCTGTTTTTTCGCAATAAAATGTTGTTTCTTGGAATCTAATTTATGAGGGTGTTTTCTTTTTCTGTTTTTGGGTTTAAGCAACAAGTTTTTGGAGCTCAGCATTGTTGTGATATGGTGGGCGTGTGCTGTGGGCGGCGGAAGAGGTGGTCCGAGCCGCCGAGAGCTAAGATGTGTTTGTGTTCTGTTTAAAGAGCTTTGGGACTTTGAGCGAAGTAACGTGTACACTTGTTTGTGCCATTATTACGGTTAAAATTATAAGTAAATAAAAACTTATTTTACAACAAATAAATTTTCTTCTTTAGCCCCTATTTGAGACCCATTGAATTTTCTTTCTCATTCTTCTTCTACTCATTTTCAATCAAACATTTTTCAATAAAATAATAAACTAATAGTTTTCATCACATTAATAACTTTTCCTTCTTTCTCAAATACACATTCTTCAACAATCTACTATTTCAAAATACATTCTTCCAAAATAATATGGCTCAAACATACTCTTAAACTTACTTTTAAATTTTTTTACAAAATACACCCTGTATTACCTCATAATTATAATTTGCATACCCGCATTTTATAAATTTATATTTTATACACTCTATTTTACATAATAGTAGTAAAAGAACATTTTCTAGTGAATCCACAACAATACCTTTAATTAAAATATCAAATCACGCCCTATGTATGTCATCCATAACAAAAATACCCTTTATTATGTTTTTCCTTAAACTCTTACATAAAATTAATTAAATAAATTTGGACAATTTTGAAAGTATAGAAAACACTTCATTTGACTCTTTCAACATTGTAAAAATAAAAATAAAAAAATCATCATTCTATACGCTAATTAATAGGGTTATTAGTACAAAACGTTCATACGTTGGACGTTCAGTGTGCAAAACTTCCTATACGTTTCAATTTTTGACATTTTCATTCATATTTCCACGTTTTATGGTGAAAATCGTCATTTTCATTCATTTTCTCAATAAAAAATGTAAAATGATAAATATGTCATCATATTTAAATAAAATAAAATAAAGAATAAATTATAACCGTACTCCTAAATTTTCAATAAAATACAAATAAATTTCAAATAAATAATTGAAAAACAAAAATCATTTTCTTTCCTCTTTTCTCTTCCACTACCACCATTTACCACCACCGTCGACGCCTCCACTGCCATGAAACCATCAATCAACTATGTGAAAGATGTGAAGTTGGTGGGTATTGTACAACCCCCCACCATTCAACTCGTCGATCGAACCCCAATCAACTGCTAACCACACCAAATAAACAGTCCACACAATCTCTATTTTCAGTCTATCACCATCGTTTCTATTTTTTTATTTTTTGAAAATATTCCTCGATGTATGCACGATTCGTGGTTTTTTAATGTTGGGAATTAACAGACCAATGCAGACATTAATCTAAAGCATAAACAAGTTTGACGGATCATTCAACAATGACAATTCAGTGTTCAAACCCCAGCAAAATGTAATCACCAATTACAACCTTAAAGAAATCATGATAATACATAGAAATCTAAATCTCATAACCTCAGCAATAATGTAATCCAACATTATCATAAGCATAACATCCGAAATGAAAATGACAGAAACCATAGGCAGGAAAAATGGACAGAACAAAAAACATAAAGAGTAGAGCTACACTTCCCTGTGACTGTGCTCCTCCTCCTTCCTGGAGGTTGTTTTTCCCTCCTTACGGCTGAGCCAGTTAGGCTCAGGAACAGCCCATTCCACGCCTTGCAATCGCCGTCCAGAGAGAGGTAAGAACTGGCAAAGAACACTCAACACTTGACTAGGTCATCGATCCAAGAAGGGATCTACCATAAATCAGTCAAGATAAAATACCCCCAATCTGACCAAAAACCTTCGAGAAAGAACCAACAGCTTAACCCTATTTCAGGTCTAAGCAACACATGGGTTGTCACTTCTCCAACAGGTTAAAATGGATTGGTTTAGAGTGAACTTCCAGAGGAAGAAGAGGAATGGAACCAGATGAAGAAAACAGGGGCAGACTCGAAGAAAAACCGACTGAGAAGATGAAGGAAGTGTCTCAAGTAAGCTAACCCACGTGAATATATGCTCAAAGGTCAAACAAGAAAAATATCTAGCCAAGATTGAATCTCAGACGTCCATATGATCCAAGGGTCAAAAATAGAAGCCGGCCCAACAAAGTGTTAAAGAGAACCACTTAATAAGGCCCAATAAGCCCACACTACTAGTGGGAAGAAGCCAAAACCCACGTGAGATAGTACCAAAAAGTCAAGCCAAGAAAATATCTCAAGCAAGATCAAATCCCAGCCATTGATCTCAATCCAATGGTTCAAATAGAAGCCAGCCCAAATAAGTGTTAAAAGAGAACCACTTAACAGGCCCAATAAGCCCACATTTAATCCAAAAATTGAATCAATTGAGAGGATAATTGGAACAACTGGATCATTACCCATTTTCGATTGGGGTTGTTGGAGGGTCGACTAAGGCCAATTTGGATCACCAGTGTTTTGGGCGACAGGAATTGAAGGAGTTCGCGACTGCAAAAACAGAAAAATTCTAAGGCACAGCAAATCAATTGGAGGTTGTTCTGGTTGACGTTTGATCGTATTTTAGGTCATTTTGATGAAGAGAACCTGTTGGTGGTAGGCCACGACCGTGAAAGTCGCCAGAAATAATAGTGTCGTCGGGTTTAGTGTTTGTGAGCCGAAGGTTTTGGCTACCAATTGCAGTCAAGTCTGGTGGGATTTGGGCGAGCAGGTTGGTGCGTTTTGACAACGGGATGGATGGTTGTATGGTGGTGGTGGTATTTGGTGGCCAAGGTGGCGGTTGGGTGGTGTTTCCAGCGAGTGGAAGTGGCGATGGAAGAGAAATGGGAAGATTTTGTTTTTTTATTTTTTATTTTTAAATTATTTATTTGGAATTTATTTGTATTTTATTTAAAAAATTGAGAATATGGTTGCAATTTATTTTTTGTTTTTGTTTTTGTTTTATTTAAATATGAAGTATATTTGTCATTTTACCGTCTTTTATTGAGAAAATGGATAAAAATGAAAATTTCCACAATGAAATGTGGAAATAGAGGTGAAAATGCAAAAAAAAAAAAAAAAATGAAACGTGAAGACTTTTTGCATACTAAAAGTCAAACGTATTGACGTTTTGTGCTAATAACCCCTAATTAATATTTTTAAACAATTCATCATTTCTATATACTAATTAATATTTTTTGTTTAATGAATAAAAATTTAAAAAAGATAATTTCGTACTCATTATAAGTTGGGATCATCTTGCAATGCAACTTTAAAAATTGTCAAGAATGCATGTTTCATCTCCTTCGATCTTATTGAGAAAATTTTCTCTATTTTGCAAGAAAACTTTGTGGATGAAAAAACATGTATAAATATTGTTAATAAAAATATATAATTTGTGTAAAAAGGAAAATGGAAAAAATTATGTAAACGATGTAGCGGAAATTACTAGATGGTTGTTAATTCATGAAGTGACGGATAAAAGAATAAAAAATCATTCTAGATAAAAAAAAAAAATGAAATAATAATTGAAAGTTTTAAAGAACATATTTTATGTTGTAAAAGGAAAGTAAATTAGGATTTAGTGTAAATGACACTTGTACCCCCACAGCCCTAGATATAATTACCATAT